TTTCCCGAAGGTACATGTGGTCTAACCCGTTATTTTTATGAGATATTTATTGGAAGATCTAAAATTAGCCATAAGTCAGAGGGTGCAAAAAGTTTTGGCCAGAAAAATCTAATTTGGGTCCATTTCAAAAGGTCCATCCAAACATGTTTGCTTTCAAACACCAAACCTTCTTGGGTCTTTGCCTAACCTATTACCTCCTGGCTGAACATAAAATTCCCCACTCCCATATTTTTTAAGTCAGTTTTGGCCAGAAAATCGAATATGGAGCCATAGTTCCTGGCAAAGCTCCATCAAACATGTTGGCTCTTAAGCACCAAGCCTCTTTAGATCATTACTCTACTAACCTAGTACCTCCTGGCTGAAGATGAAATTCTTCACTCCCATATTTTTTACGGCAGAAATATTACTTTCCTTTAAAAATCGTCCCTCTCTCACTCTCTCTTTCTCTCTTCCGCCTACAACACCACTGTGTGTCGCACTCAACAGTTGGTCAAACCATTCATTGTTTGCCGGACATTGATCTTCGATGAGAATATTTTCATAGCGAGCATAGTAACATGTTGGTCAACGACCTTTGCTGTTGCCGCCGAGTTCTTACCAAAAAAAAAATACATTTCAGATACCCAAAATATTCAAGCAATCAAGAAACATACCGACACTCAAACACGAACAATTTGTGTGTGTCGTTTGTCGAATTGAAATTAACAGTCTTTTTTAGCTTTGAAGGCGGCCGGGTGTGGGGGAGCCTCCTGCATGCTTGTTGCGTTGCTTGCTTCAGTCCGGAATGAGTGATGACTACCGGCCGGTAAAAGTGAAAATAATTATGTGTATGTACGTGGGTACGTACGTACGCTTGCGTATAGTGTCCGAAATAAAATGAGATACAATTGAATAAATTCAGTTTTAGGGGAGTCTCAGGAGTGTGTGTGTGTGAGTGCGAGTGCGAGAGTGCGTACATGAAGGTGTAAGTGCTGGAAGCTATACTTAGCCCACAAAAGAGCATGTCAATGAACTTTGGCTTTGGATTTTGACTATGAATGACATGACACAATGATAAGAACACTCTCAAATGTTTATTCTTATGGCTACCTCTCACTCAGCGTGAGTTCTCTAGAAATTAACAATTAGTCAAAACAAGTCCAACACCAGCACTTGGTGGACCGACTGTCCATCAAAAAATAAGTTGTAATTTAATGTTTATTTTCTATCTTTTTGTCGGGGAGTTTGATTTATGTGGCTTTGGGAGAGTTAACAAATTTTATGGCCTTTTCTTCCATTTGTATGAAGGTATGTGGGTATACATTGTAATGTTATTTTTTTGGTATTCATGTTTAGTTTGTTTTTTTTTTTTTTAATTTTTGGTTAGATGCGTAACACCATAGCTTTGTTACGTAGTTTCCTCTCCGATTCGGATGTGGCTTTTCGAGCACCTTTACGGTCATTGACCGTGTGTAGAAATTATCGCATGTTTTTTTTTCTTTTTTGTTCAGCCAAACTGCCTGCCAAAAAAAAATCACACACAAGGGAGGAGGCGTTAAACTTTCAAATAATTGACAATAGACGACTTACGCCCGTTTCCAAGCACAACAATAATTACAACATCAGGAGGTATGAAATTCAAAATATTTGTCGATTTCATTAAAAATAACACGAGTGGCGTTTGTTCTCTCCACGATGCTTACACATTTAATTTGTGTGTTTTTGTGGGTGACTAGATGCTGTATGACTTGTGTAACAATTGAATTAGTCAGCACTGTTGGTAGGGGACGCCCTAAAGTATGCTTTGGTTTTTGGAATTTCAAAGGAAATATAATTTCAAATGGTGTTGCCACATTCAAATGTGAACTTTGGGTATTTTAAACATGTTTTAGGAATATATTTTGAGACAGTAGAAACGCCAGAAACGTGGATTCTGTTTTCAATATTTGTTAAAAGAATAATTTATGAAATTTTATTAATATTTTTTTATTTATTTTATTAATATTTTAAAATATTTTCCAAAAGAATTCTAGTTTTATTTAATTCTTTGGTTCCTCTTCTATTGAGCTTACGTTCTCGTCACTTGGTTAAAAAGTTATTTTTAAATAACTTCTGGGGAGAATATCCCATACAAAAAACAAGTGAACTGATGAGGATTGGTGGCTCTTTCCGAAACCTGGGTATTCCCTGCCTTACCCCTGGTAAACATTACCATCGTTCTCCACTAATAAACAAACGTTGTTTCTATAAAAACAACAATAAAGGGATTAAGCCTGGCCATTCTGCAACAACAAAATACTATGGCTGTTTTATATTTTTAATATTTTAATAATATTGTGTGAAGTTTGAAAAGCATTGGGCGCTTATTTCCCATTTTTAAGGGCGTTTTGTTATTAAAAAATTAATCCCTCTGTGGGGGACGTACCAGAAGGAATAGATCCATGTATTTCATTTTTACACCAGATCTTGTGTTAATAGAAATAATGGGCTGTGTGAAATTTTAAGATATTCTGATGCTTATTTCACATTTTATGAAAGATATATTTATTCAAAACTTTGACCCGTTGTGGAGGAGGTACCAGAAGGTGTGGTCCGATCTCTACAATATTTATAACAGCTCTTGCTTTGATGGGAATATTGAGATGTACCAAGTCTGAATGGAATCGGATGTTAATTTCACTTTTTATGAACTTCATTGCTATTTAAAATCTCGACCCTTTGTGGGCAAGGTACCAGAAGCAGTGGACCGATATACCCCATCTTCACAACAGATCTTTTGTTAGTGGAAATAATGAGATGTGTGAAATGTAAAGAGAACCTGATGCTTATTTCGGATTCTATAAACGTTTGGGTTATTCAAAACTTTGACCCGTTGTGGGGGAGGTACCAGAAGGTGGTGTCCGATTTCTACTATCGTTATAACAGATCTTGTGTTTAAAGAAATATTCAGATGTACCAATTCTGAATGGAATCGAATGTTAATTTCGCGTTTTATGAGCTTCATGGATATTCAAAATGTTGACCCAATTTAGGGTATGAAATAGTCGTTGCCTATGTCAACTCTGCAAAAAAAATTCGAAATCAGTCCATGGTTTGCTATAGCTCCTATGGACGTCAGGAGTCCAGTGATTACGATTATGATCTTCGGGTTGTAGGCGATGTAGGATTTAAAAAAAAAAAAATTAAAGGACATTCATAGGCACAAACAGGATTTTTGAAACAGATTTTTCGAAGGACCTTCAGTACCACAAACTTCGACATTAGGAAACGAATTTTTCGAAGGACTTTCAGAAACACAAACATGATTTTTTGAAACACATTTTTCGAAGGACCTTCAGAAACACCCACGAGGATTTTTAAAATATATATTTAAAGGACCTTCAAGAACACAAACGTGAATTTTTAAAACAGGTTTTTCAAACAACCTTCAGCAACACAAGTGTGGATTTTTAAAACCAATTTTTCAAACGACCTTCAATGACAAAAAAGTAGATTTCTTGAAAAATATTTTTTAATGTCCTTCAGAAGCACAAACGTGGATTTTTAAATCAATTTGTTTCTCGAAGGATTTTAAGGGACTCCAAAGTAGATTTTTTTTGATAATATTTTTAAGCAACTTTCAGAACCTCAAACGTGGACTTTTAAAAAGGATTGTTTGCAGGACTTTCAAAACCATAAACGTGAATTTTTAAAACATATTTTTCGAAAGAGCCTTAACCACAAACATGGGTTTGTAAAACAGATTTTTCAAAGGACCTTCAAGGATACAAAAGTAAATTTCTTTGAGAGTATCTTTTAAATGACCTTCAGAACAACAAACATGGTTTTTTTAAAACTGATTTTTCGAAGGACACAAAAATATTTTTAAAGGACCTTCAAAGCCACAAATTTCAGGGTCAGAAACAAGGATTTAAAAAAAAATATTTTTTAAGGACTTTCAGAACCACAAATGTGGGTTTTTTAAAACTGATTTTTCGAAGGACCTTCATGGACCAAAATTTGATTTCTTTAAAAGGAACTTCAGAACCACAAACGTGGATTTTTAAATCAAATATTTTGAAACGTAAATTTTTAAATCAAATTTTTCGAAACGTAAATTTTTAAAACAGATTTTTTAATCAAATTTTTCGAAGGACTTTCACAGCCACAAACGTAAATTTTTAAAAGAGATTTTTCAAAGGATTTTCGAGGACACCAAACTGCTCCTTGGATCGTAATTTTTTATATAATAATTTGTAAATTTCAATTAAGAAATGGAAAAACTCGGAATCCACTTCAAATTGAACCACCAATGGCCAGTAAATGTGGCCAGTAAACTTGATTCAGAACCTGTCACAATCAGAAAGGTAGATAAACTTCAAAAGGTAGGGTAAAAACAACTCTGCTGTAGAGCTTTAATCTCTCATATAAAAAATTGCTTTGTTGAGTTTAAAATTTCTGTACAATTTTCGAATTTTTTGGGAAAAATTAATTTGAAAATAATAAGAATTGCTTTTTTAATTATTCAAAACTTTTTTAAGCGATGGAAACATATATATAAGAACCTTATCTTAATATTATTGCACTTAATCTTATTTACTTTTAAGGATATACGGGAAAAGTGCCTAAAAGTATGCTTTATTTTTTGATAACTTAACTTAAATATTCGTTTATGTTGAATATGACAGACAGTAGCTGTGTTCAAGAACCAGCCATACAGTACTACATTATACGATTTTCACAAAATATAAGTTAGTCTTCCCTTACTTCAAAACAAGACCTTCTTTAACTTCATACTATTTTTTCGTTCTCCTTAATTCTTGTAAGTGGACATAATTTTTTATGTTTTCCGCATATTCTAGTTCGGGAACGAAGCTAATGGCGATCTTTTTTTGGGGAAATAGCTCAAAATAGAATTTGATACGAGCATCTTCCAACATATGACCCTGTATCTTAAAAAGACCTCCAAAGTTTATGTCCTAGAAACCTCCAAAAGAATTTCCCTTTTTTAAATTAAAAAAACTTTTATTTTCTCTATTTTCATTTGTTTCTTCTCTTTTATTTATAAATTTTTACAAAAGAAAAATATATTTGAATGTGTATCGTTGATGAATGTGATTTATGTATGTATGTGTGTAACATGTACAAATGTGCAATTTACGACTAAACTAAATTCACAATAAACAAACATACATATGCGCATGCGCTAACGATTCACAAAATACTTTTGCCCTCTCAGGACGGACTTGCAATCCGTCAATCATTAAAGTTCTCTCCTTTTGCTTCAGTACAGCACAGTTAACCTCCATTCGGATATTTTCATTTCCAACATATTCGACAATTACAGTGATTTTAAGAAAAATGCTTATTTCCTTGAGGCGAGGAAGGAAACCTCGCCTTTGCGGGTGCTACAAAATGTAAAGATGATGAAAATGTATCCCTTTAACCTTGAATGTGTGCCCACGTTCATCCCCCCTATGTGGTCAAAGGTGTCTGGCGGTTACGTTTATTGGCCAGCCGCTGGCGCTGATAGAACTCTTCCATGGGACGAAATTCCGTTTCATAAACATCGGGAATTTCCCGCTGTAAACACTCGAGAAATACCATTTTCACCGATTGCCGGCCATGAATTTGTTCATCGTAGCAACGGAGTTGTTCAAAAAATCCAGTATTGGGTCGAATTTGAGGTCGTACACTCTTGATGTGCATAAAGGCATCGTGCAGGGTCATGCCGCAGTATTTCATCAAATAGGCCAAACAGAGGGATGCCGAACGGCTAACACCAGCCACACAGTGGACTAAGGTTTTACCACCATTTTGTCGTACTTCTTCAATCATATCGGCCACCTCATCGAAATGTTTGTGCAACTCCGCATTTGGACGATCCGAGATATCAATTCGTAAATACAAAATGGGTACAGTGGTGGGTAGTGGGGTATCGGGTAGTTCGGAGGCAACATTGATGACCAAATTGATGCCAAGAGAAGTGATCACAGTGGGCGAGAGAACACTGGCCCCACATAAGTAGAGGTGTGGCAATAGCTGAGAAACTCCGGGAAAGCTAGAAATATAGGAGAGAAAAAAATTTTATTAAATTTTTATGGTAAGGAAATGGATAAATAATATTGTTGGTTATGGAAAAATGGGATTCAAATATATAATTTTATGAACATTTTTTCAATAAGTTTTATAACGGATTTACAACAAAAAAAATCCACAAGCGTGGATTTTTTAAAATTTGTTTCAAAGAACCTTCAGAGCCAAACCTGGTTTTTTAATATCTTTTCAAGAATAAAACTTGTATTTTTAGAAATATTTTTCACAGGAGCTTCAGAACGTGATTTATTTTGAATTTGTCAAAGGACCTTTATCGCTGGATTTTTAAAACGCTTTTTCATAGGAATGTGAATTTTCTTTAAAAAAAAATTTAGAGGACCTACAGAATTTAAAAAAAAAATATATAAGGGATCTTATATTAATATCTTTCAATGGTCCTTTGGAGCTACCAATCGTGCATTTTTTAAATATTTTTCAAAGGACTTATGAGACGCTAAATGGATTTTTTTAAATATTTTTAAAGGACCTACAAAAACGAAGATTTTTAAAAAAAATATTTTTTAAAGAACCTACACAAACGTGGAATTTATAAAAGATATTTTAAAGGACCTTCACAAACTTCGACTTTTCAATTTTTTTTTAAAGGACCTAAAAGACAGAAACGTGGATTTTTTAACCAAATTTTTAAAATGACCTTCAGAGCTACAAACGTAGATTTTTAAAAATAAATTTCAAATGACCTTTCATGCAACAAACGTAGATTTTCTAAAAAAAATTTTTCAAAGGACCTTCCATTCAACAAACGTGTATTCTTTAAAAATAATGTTTAAAGGACCTCCAGGTCATCAAACGTGGATTTTTTAAAATTTTTTTTTTCAAAGGACCTCCAGTTCATCAAACGTGGATTTTTTAAAAAAATATTTTTCAAAGGACCTTCCTCTCAACAACCGTGGATTTTTTAAAAAATATTTTTCAAAGGACCTTCCACTCAACAAACGTGGATTTTTTAAAAATTATTTTTCAAATGACCTTCCATTCAACAAACGTGAATTTTTTAAAAATTATTTTTCAAATGACCTTCCATTCAACAAACGTGGATTATTGAAAAATAATGTTTAAAGGACATCCAGGTCATCGAACGTGGATTTTTTAAAAATAATGTTTAAAGGACATCCAGGTCATCGAACGTGGATTTTTTAAAAATAATGTTTAAAGGACATCCAGGTCATCGAACGTGGATTTTTTAAAAAATATTTTTCAAAGGGCATTCCATTCAACAAACGTGGATTTTTTAAAAATATTTTTCAAAAGGACGTTTTGAGCCACTAACGTGGATTTTTCTAAAAATATTTTTCAAAGGACCTTCCATTCAACAACCGTGGATTTTTTAAAAATATTTTCAAGGGACCATCCACTAACGTGGATTTTTTAAAAATATTTTTCAAAGGACCTTTTGAGCCACTAAAGTGGATTTTTTTAAAAATATTTTTCAAAGGACCTTTTGAGCCACTAACGTCGATTTTTCAAAAATATTTTTCAAATGACCTTTTGAGTCACTAACGTGGATTTTTTAAAAATACTTTTCAAAGGACCTTTTGAGTCACTGACGTGGATTTTTTAAAAATATTTTTCAAAGGACCTTTTGAGTCACTAACGTGGATTTTTTAAAAATATTTTTCAAAAGACCTTTTGAGTCACTAACGTGGATTTTTAAAATATATTTTTTAAAGGACAAATAAAAACGTGGATTTTTAAAATATATTTTTTAAAGGACAAATAAAAACGTGGATTTTTAAAATATATTTTTTAAAGGACAAATAAAAACGTGGATTTTTAAAATATATTTTTTAAAGGACAAATAAAAACGTGGATTTTTAAAATATATTTTTTAAAGGACAAATAAAAACGTGGATTTTTAAAATATATTTTTTAAAGGACAAATAAAAACGTGGATTTTTAAAATATATTTTTTAAAGGACAAATAAAAACGTGGATTTTTAAAATATATTTTTTAAAGGACAAATAAAAACGTGGATTTTTAAAATATATTTTTTAAAGGACAAATAAAAACGTGGATTTTTAAAATATATTTTTTAAAGGACAAATAAAAACGTGGATTTTTAAAATATATTTTTTAAAGGACAAATAAAAACGTGGATTTTTAAAATATATTTTTTTAAAGGACAAATAAAAACGTGGATTTTTAAAATATATTTTTTTAAAGGACAAATAAAAACGTGGATTTTTAAAATATATTTTTTTAAAGGACCTATAAAAACGTGGATTTTTAAAATATATTTTTTGAAGGACCTAAAAACGTCGACTTTTTTCAAAATATTTTTTTTCAAGGACCTACAAAAACGTAGACTTTTTACATTTTTTTAAAGGTCCTACAAAAACGTAGACTTTTTACATTTTTTTAAAGGTCCTACAAAAACGTAGACTTTTTACATTTTTTAAAGGTCCTACAAAAACATGGATTTTTAAAAAAGTAGTTTTTATTAAAGAACTTAAAAAAAACAAAGAACCTAACTATTCTCAAAGAACCTTCAGAGCCAAACTATTCTCAAAGGACCTTCAGAGTCACAAACGTGGGATTTCTAGAGATGTTTCTTAAAACTATTTTCAGGGGACATTCAAGCCAGAAATGTGAATTTTTTCAAAATATTTCTTAAAATATATTTTTTTACTATTTTCAAAGGATAGGACAGCCATAAACGTGGATTTTTAAAACTTTTTTAAGGAGCCATAGACGTGGATTTTTAAACCTTTTTAAGATGAATTTTAATTATCATATGTATAGACCAACCATCGGCTGTATCAAATATGCCAACTCTTCCCATATAGTGGCATTGGTCATAGCAAATTCCACAACGAAAAATTAAAACATAAATTTTATTTGTTGTTAGTTTTTCCCCACAACCATACTCAGACACATCCACACACATCAACATCACACACAGCAAAAGTGAAAACTCAGAGTAATCTATGACGTCCATGATCGTTTGATCAGCCTGAACAAGCAACACACCGAAACAAAGAAAAACGGATCACTAGAACAGGAGAAAAATAACAACAACATATTTTTCCGCTTTCTCAAAATAAAACTTTTTTTTTGGTTTATTCAAACTCAATGTGGGTACGTGAGTTCGGACAGCGAAAGATAATATTTTGGAAACAAATTTAACCTGAATGAATGTGTTGATCAAGGGGAAAGGGAGATTTTGTGTGAGGGGAATTTTGAAATTTACGTTCGGCTATTTTTATGCCAGGGGGAATGGAACAAAAGGATGCGACGCAAATAAACCCCAAAATGTTTTATTTCATTTTAAGAGAACAACAAAATTCCATTCTATTTTTGAATCTGCCAAATTATATAGATATTTATATTTTTTGGGGAAAAAAACAAAATAATAATTATCTCACCGTTTATTTGACGTCGGCACTTTTGTGCGGCTTTTGACGTCAGTCATGTTAGGTCATGTCTTGTTTTATGCCATTTTCCAAAACAACATTCTACGCCATAAACAATAATGATACGACTGACTCAACGAACATCAGGTGTGAGGGGGAATTGATTGGAATGGCTGGCTCATTGTCCAGTTCGACCACAGAAATGAAAACAAAAATTGTTTAAATAATAAACTGTGACGAATAATTCCACGGTTTTCGCAGATGGATCCCAATTCGCAGCAAAAGTCAATGAACAAAGAACAACAATGTTATAATTAATTTAAAAACAGAAAATAATTATCCAAAAAACGAAATGGGGAACATAAATTATTTCAAATTCTATTAAATGGGGGCTATTCGAGAAAAAACAATGAAAACAAAAACAAAGTAATTTTTTAGAAAATTTATGAATGGCTTGATTTGGCCAAATAAAATTTGTTAAAATATATAAGTATATATAAATATATACGCATATGTGCTATTGGTTGTAGATTTTCAATAACAAGCACTTAATTTGTTTCGAATGCCATATTTTTGCTTTTCAAATTTTTTTCCTAACAAAGCATTTCCCTGACCATCAAATTAATAAATATTTTACACATGTTTGTCATTGTCCATTGAATTTTTTTCTTTGCTAATTTATTTTATACAAGGAAATTTGCAAATGTATAAATTATAGTTTTTCAAGGTTGTCGAATAAAAAATTAAAATTTTTTCTTAAGTTTTCTTTTTGAGTCTATATATTTTTTTTAAATATATATGTTTTCTGTGTTAGGCGAGTCCATGATATTTATGGGAATTGATGTCGTATATTATAACGATCTTGACATTATACATATATAAATATGTTTTTATATATATATTTATTTGTTTGTATATATGAAATTATTGAGTGCTCCAATTTTTTTTTTATTTTAATGACCTAATTTTTTTATTTGCAAATATTTCAATTGAATAAATTCTATGCCAATGACCCATTCAAATAAACTATAAAACTAATGGCGCCCAATGGATTTGAATATGTTTTCACATGAATCATGCTAGAACGCATTTTTGTGAAACAAAACCCCAACAAAAACAATATTTGGAAATTAAAAATAAAAACAAAAAAAATCTCAGTCGGTTTTGACGACATGTATGTACCCTCAGCCAAAATCAGTTAATTATACACTCAGCCATATGGCTAGAAAGGGGTACGGGTTGCCCATATTCGAAGGACCTTTGGGCCCATTCCAATCGACGAGGCTTGTCCGCAGGCAACATTCTTTGCGTCAATTGAATTTTGTACGAGAACAAAAGCAAATCAATGCGAATAATCCGTTGTAAAGTGGACCGAGCCATGCCCAACTGCTGAGAACGGCGTTTTTGGGATGTTCTTGGGGACCTCTCAACACTGGCTCGTACGGCTGCGATATTCTCGGCCGATCGCCTTGGTCGACTTTTATATGGCCTCTTCGGATTAGAAAGAGCCTTACCAGTCGAAAATTTTTCGTGTAAACGCTTAATGGTGTTCTTAGAAGGCGCACTTCTCACATTTTTTAATGTTTTTAC